ACCAGGGGCTGTCTCATTCTCTAAGAGGTCAGGTGCTAATGGCCTGGAGGGTGATACCAGAGGGCAGCAGATAGCCCGCGTGCTCGTGCACACGCTAACCGTAGCAACTCTGTGATTGCCGCGGCGCCCCCACGGCGTGGATTAGCCGTGGCCATCCACCACGGCGCTGAAGCACCTGCCATGTTTTTTTTCCCCGGACGGCCTCTGATTAAAAGTGATGGCTCCGGAGCGTGAGGATGCTCCGGCGATCAGCGCGCCAATCTATTCTTCGGCAGGATGTAGACCCCCTTTTTGCCGTGGGCTGCCAGAGAGCCTCCAGGGCCTCCTCTCCCGGAGCCGGCTCTCTCCGTGTGTGTGTGTGAATCATTACAAATGATATAGCCCCGTAACATCAGGAGGAAGATGGCAAAGGAAGGTCTTTGGGCGGCGAGATTTCAGGCGGAGAATGGTTTAAATGTCAACCGAGCCGTTTGTCATGTCGGATGCTTGAAAGCGGGGTCCCGCAGTCGATCCGCGGTTTAATTCTAACAGCAGCGACTAAGCAGCTGACAGGTGTTGTATTTCAGCGGTGCGGGCAGAAGGCAGAAGGTACAGGAGGTACAGGGGGTACAGAAGGTAGCGGTGAAGGCGGCGCCATTTTGGCAGGGTGTCCAGATTTTTTACCACGCAGAAACGCATCAAGTTAATGAAGCTTCAGACGCAGAAAATTAGCAGAGAAATGAATTGCACCACCAAAGTGAGGTCAATTTGCACAGATAAATCCATGAAGAACAGTGGGGTGCATCACTGGAAGTGCTCTGCTTGCGCTGATGAGCGGGTTAATTGCCCATTTTGTTTATTGTGAGAAAGATGCCTGAAACCAATTCTCCCCAGACGCATATCCCCGGCCTTATGCGGTGGAAAAGAACATCCACTGTGAAAAATTCAAAAAAGATCCTTTTTAGCTCTCTAAAAACTAGACGCGTGGAAATGGAGACGTTGCGGAGGCAGCATCTTAATTTTTTTGGGAAAATAGGAACAATGCGGTTTCTCAGGTACCAATGCGGGGACGACGCCGATAACTGTGACAGGTTGAGAAAGCTTTCCACGGCTGTCATCAAAACAACACGGCGGCGGCGCCGCCCGCGGCCAAGGACCCATCACAGGCGAGCACAACGTTGCCAAGCTCCTCATCGCAAAACACATTTTAACAGCATCTCTTCAGATGATCCAGAGGCCAGATGTCATCGGCTTCTTAATAACTTTCTAGAGGCTAGTTCTGGTCACTGTGGCAATTACCTTTATGTCAGGCCTCTAAAAGATATGTCTACCCACGGGACAAGAGGCAGCCAGCTCCATAATGCTCATTACAGATGAATGTCGAGGCTGATTCATCCTGACTCACTGGTGCGCAGGCCACTGTCAGTATTTCCATTTTCTGCCAGATCTATGCATTATATCGACGGGCGCATTACCGGAGACGGTCTTTATCAGTTAACAAGTGAATTTCATGCATGCTGTGTTTATTGATTATCAAACGGTGCTGCGGTGCGGAAATAGCGGGGAAATAATTTGAAGTTGAAACAAACAGTCAAAGGTGTTCTTGTAAAAAAAGAAAAAAGGAAATAAAAGATAAGTCCTTTTGTGGTAATATTATGCGGTTAATGCAACAATCAAGATACTCCGACAATGAGTTTTATCTGGAAGAGAATGCACCGCTGATGCTCATGAAGTAATGTGACCCGGAGGCCGAATAAAATAACTGCTTGTGAGGAAAGATGAAAGCCTAGAGATGCACACAGTGCTCACCAAACGCAAGTGTAAATAACATGCATTCATCCCCCCTTTGAGATAAAAAAAAGAAAACAGAAAATCTGCCCTTGATGGTTCTTAATGGATGATTTTAGGGCTAAAATTATTTAAACTAAGATCTCTCTCTCCCCCCTATCTCGTACTGGCATTTTTACAAATGCTGGGATTTTGAGATACCTGATTGGGCACTGATAATTTGATTGAGGCGGTGCTGATTTCCCCCATAAACCTTTCCTAATATGGTATATGAACACACTGAATGGGCCCTCCACTCTTAAAAAATATGGGTTTCTTTTCTTGTAAACAGGCAAACATAATATCAAACACATTGTGGTTGTTTCCATATTGCAGTTTCCTGTTATCTATGAGGCAAAATAGACAAGAAATGAAAATGAAATTTATTTTATCAAGAAACATGGCATTTTATTCCAGCACAGCTTCACACAAAAATGGGGCTGGGTGGAAGTGTTATTTCAGTTGTGAAATGTGAACAGGTAAAATAGAAATTAACATGTTTAATAAGTGAGTATATGTGTCAGATTTGGGCTTAAATACATTTATATAAATGCAAAGTAAACGTGAGAATTTCCGTTAATGTTCAGCCTTATAGTGGGACACTGTTACATTCAGGGCAGGTGGATAAAGACACATATGTACAGGTTTTTTTGGCAGTTATGGAACATACATATAAATATGTGGCTAAAGGTGAATATAAGGTATGGTTAATTCTTTGTGAAATTTGTTTGTGAGGTTCACATCTGCTTTTTTTTCTTTTTTTCCTCTTCTGTAAGACATAGAGGAAAAAGGAAGACGCCAAACCTTGAAGACAGATATCTACCGCTCATCCATTTACTCGGCGCTGCTGAAATAGAAGTCTGGTGTTTTCAGCTCCATAAGTCTGCCGTTATTATCATAATAATGTCTTGTTTCAAGTTGCCCTGAAATGCCTCTAGCACGGCTGTGCCGATTAAGAAATCTTAATTAAGCTTTTGTAGATTCTCCTTCATCAGACCTTGCCTCATTTTGCTCAGAAAAAAAAAAAAAAAAAAAAAACTTACATTGCTTCAGTCTGTTTTTAAGAGGCTCCGCTTCCACCGGATTGAACGAGGGGTGCTCGTGAGTGTGCATGAAGGGGGAGACAGAGAAGGAGCCAAAGCCTGCGTTTTAGTGCGAGCATTCACATTCCCGCTCCCTCATGTCTCTCGGGGTATTTAAAGTATTAGATAGCCCCACGATGATCCGCTTGTTGTCACAGCAATTTCCCCAGTCGCTCATCATACTTAAAGTCCTCTCTCGTTTTCCATTATAAACATCCCAGACAAAGCTCACCTGAGATTTACACCGAAAGACAATTTGGTTTCACCTCTGAAGCTGCGCAGCATGACAGCCGACGTATAATGGCTGGAACAGTTTGAGCTCGCGCGAAGATGAGTGCTGCGACTTCTTTTTTTTTGCTCACAGCGGTGAGGGAAATGTTCCTGTAGGGAGCCCGGCGTTTTTTAATGCTCGGCGGCGGCTGTTGTTGTGATTGTTGTAAGAGTCCAATCAAATTAACAGCGGCGCTCACACAAGGTATTGCTAAGTGGCAGCATCAGCTGGGAATACTGCCACTGGAATTGGTCGATTAAGTGTCTGTAACTGTGATGAACCACCACCAGGGAGATTATTACGGCCTTCCCTCATTCATCCATGTTTACAGCGACCGACTGTCTTAATTAAGCAATTTAAGAGCTGATGGACGGGCTGGCCTTGCTGTCCATAGGAAACCCTTCGAACGTAGCACGGCCTTTACTTTAAGCATTACCGTGCTGTAAATAAACTCTGATCATGAGATGAAGTTGCACGACTTTGGATGCATGCAGCCCCTTCTTTAACGTCAGCTGGAAAACGCTCGCGAGCGCCAGTGTGACAAAACAAAACGTGGCAGACGACCTAGTTTGTTAGCTGTGTACACATGTGTTTCCGTTAGGCTTACAGCGAAATTATAATTAGTCTGGGAGTAGCGCGCAGCGTTTCAGTGAGAATTCAAACAGCCGCTGCTGCATACTTTCAGCATCTGCTTCTCTCAGTGATCCCCAAAACAGGGCCTGGGGAAAGTGAGCACTACTAATTACTAATAAAACTAGCTAAGCTTATTGCTGGGAATTATTGCAGCTTTATCTGGACTGGACCAGGAATCGCTTCCGAAGCTAAAACAGCTTTGAGGTATAAGGAGGGATCACGGTTCATTGGTGCATCTGGATTAGCACTATTCACAGCGCACTTTGCCACGGAGAAGTGTTTTATTGTTGGACACCACTATCAAGATTTAAGAATCTTTATATTATACACAGATTATTTTTCAAGAGCACTAGGTTGCCAAACAAAATGTAAGATTATTAATACAAATAGATCCTCAAGAGTATATTACACCCCAAACATTTCTTACACTGTCTACTGCACTAAGGCCTTGGGTGATAATAGGTGAACAGCCCAATTTCCTTCCCATGCATCCATACTAGGATAAGTAAAAATAACTGGCCATTTCAAACTCTAACCTAAGTTTGACTTAGATGTGCGTGGAACTGTACAAGAGGGAGACTGACCGAGTACAATTTAGTCCTGAGTCATGAAATTGGGGATGGCATTGTTGATCTTCTAAATTATACAAAATATGTGGCTATGCTCAGACTTTTACCCTTTATGTGGAGTATATGTGTACAATTGATTGATGTGGACTGCTGTTTACTCAGTGCTGTATCTTAAATATGAAATGTCTTGTTAATCATGGTTTACCATAATGCCTTGGGTGAGAAAGATTTCTTAAAAACCTATAATTATTCATTTACCATTCCCAATAATCATTTGGAAAGCCTAGACGTTTTGTGACTTTAATTATATATCATATTTTCAAAGCACTGAAACTGCACTGAACTGCTTTTGCAGTTCTATTAAAATAGTAAAATCTGCTAAAAAGTTTGTTTACATTTTTTTATCGAGTTTACGGTGAAATACATTAAAAATTTCCATTATTTCAGATGGTTTTCTGGGAACAGTAAACATGTTCACTCATTATATTTTTTGTTGCTATCTCTATTGTTCACAGTATTTAAAGTATTTGTGTTACTTTCATTATTGTGTGAGGATCTGCAAAACTTTATTCTTAAAAAAATATTGGAATCTCACTAAATATTGCTTTTCTGTCTCCACTTTCTCCGCTCTCTGTAAAGGTCACATGCAGGAAAGTGCAGGAAGGCGCCACAGAACTCATCGAGTGGCGGGACAGCGATAACGAACGGAAGATATCTCCTGCGGGGGCCAGTCCGCGAATTCTCAACCCCCTGCGCCTGTTTGCGAAGGGTTCCCCCGAGCTCAAGAGCAACCTGAGGGAAATGACATACGTCCAGAACATAGAAGACTTTTGGGACTGGTTATCTAACCAGACAGATGTTCAGGCCGCGCAGGCCAGAACTAAACGCAGACCCATCGTCAAGACCGGAAAGTTCAAAAAGATGTTCGGCTGGGGGGACTTCCACTCCAACATCAAGACCGTCAAGCTCAACCTGCTGATCACGGGGAAGATCGTGGACCACGGGAACGGCACCTTTAGCGTTTACTTCCGCCACAACTCCACGGGGATGGGGAACGTGTCGGTGAGCCTGGTGCCCCCTTCCAAGGTGGTGGAGTTCGAGATCGCCCAGCAGTCCACGCTGGAGACCAAAGACACCAAGTCCTTCAACTGTCGCATCGAGTACGAGAAGACGGACCGCAACAAGAAGACCGCCCTGTGCGGCTACGACCCGTCCAAGGTGTGCTACCAGGAGCACACGCAGAGCCACGTGTCCTGGCTGTGCTCCAAACCTTTCAAAGTCATATGCATCTACATAGCCTTTTACAGTGTAGACTATAAACTGGTCCAGAAGGTATGTCCTGACTACAACTACCACAGTGACACTCCCTACTCCTCCACAGGGTGACCGAGCTGTTGTCGGTATACATAAGCCTTGTGTTTGATCTCCTAATGTAAATCTCAAGCTCTTGTCTCCTTCCCCTGAAATACCTAAAAAACCTGAGAAACGTTGCACACACGATTTGGCAAAACTTTTGTAAATACCGCACATGTACCCTTACACCTCAGATAGTTAGGTGTCCAGGGACTTGCTTTTAGGGGCCGATTTGAGATTCGGAGCTAGCCGGCAGCCCTGGGTGAATCCTCCTCATCACAACAGCACATGTTCTCTGTAAGCCACTGCTGTAATTACCACGTTGTCCAGATGTTTCCTTCAAGGCTAGACCATAGGCAGGGGGCCGCACCAATTGGAGGTGCATGTCTTGCTTTTGCCAGTGCTGCACTAATGCTAACATTATCCAACTCTTTCCTTACCCTCATTTAAAACGTTATGAGTTCCAGTGATAGAAGTACACGCATGCGTAATAACACTTTAGCATTATGTACCAGTCTAAAATAAAAAATAAAAATATTTCACAGTTTTAACCTCACTATATCTTGAATGATGAGCAAAAAGGATCTAGTCATTGCTTGGATGACCTGACATCCATTTGTACCCAAAAACAGAAACAAACAGGAGAGCATTATTTCTACTGATTTAGATAAATGGGTATATCTAAAGCTCTGGATCATTATTTTGGTCTAACAGATTAACCATTTTGTTTTATCTCATTTTCTTTTTATGTAGGGATTTTAAGAAAGTAAACAGATTCAGTCTAAATCTACCACTGACAAAAGGAATTATTGAAACAAAAAAATCTAGCAGCGTCATTTCAGAAACCCGAAAGCTTGATAGTAAGTTATTGCAGACATGAGCGAGCACCCATGTGTGACACGGACGCTGCCGCGCTCACTCCTTAAATCTAAGGCAACCAAACATAAGGCGTGTGTGTGCTAAACTACTCTGAAATCCAACAGCTGTGTTTGCAGGATGCACTTTGAGGCATCAGCCTGCCCGAGCGAGCTGTGCCGTGGATTAATGTGTCAGGAGAGGTAAGGAGGGGGAGGCAATAATTGCAGGACAGGTGGATTTAGTGAGTCTGGCAGACAATTATCAGCACTTTGTCATGGTCCCGCCACCAGCCCTGACATTACCTGTCTTTAATAGGCTTTAATTAGCCTGGGAAATTTCATTTATCAAGAGTGAAGAAACTGAAAGCAGGAGAAAAAAAAATAAAGAAATAAATAAAGAGGCAGAAGTACAGAATCTGTCATTTTAATGAGAAGTGGGGGAAAAAAATGTTATATATCAAGCCCCCCCTCAACCCTCCCCCACAATTGTACAGCTTAAGTTAACTGTCTTAGGTGTACAAGTGGATGACATCCAGTCTTTTAGTACTCGGCACAATGAGCTGTGACCCACCAACCATTGAGGACGTTTTAAAAGGTTTTGTTGAACCCCATCTCCACTTTAAATGCTGTAGACTGTCGTTCCCACATACCTCTGGTTTTTAGGTTAGGGCATGAACTACTGTTGACACTGTAATTAATTCTGTCCACACAACTTTATTTTCCGTCTCATCCGCTGTAAATGATCCTGTCGCCTTCTCACACGAGGTGATGTGTACAAGTCAAGAGTTGATCTATGTTGATGTTTTAGTTTCATTCCTTTGTGTAAATGCTGTGTATTACCGTGCAAGTCAAAAAAACCAAAAGTGTTTGATTATGGCTACAGAGTGAATTATGTCAATTTATTGAAGTTTTTCCAGAGAAATTTATCAATATGTACACTCTTCCTTATTTTTGGTGTTTTATCGGAACTATCAAGTAGATCAATGTCAGATTTATTGCTTACAGTCAAAGACTGCTTAGATTCCCATTATTGTAATTGCCGTTTGTTCCTGTTTTGATTTCCTGCTTGCTTGATCTCATTCAAATTGTTCTCCCTGTAAAATAGGAATAAGAGCGCATTTGTGTGTGGTGTGATTACACATGTTCACTTTGGAATATTCGTTTTCAAATGAAGTTGAGTTTGTTCAAATGTAATGGTAAAGATCAATTTAGGTCTTTATGGCATTAAACCTTGTTTGAACTTGGCTCTTAGCATACTGTCACGCCGAATCAGTCGCAGTTTATTGACGTTCACTGTTGTCCCATTTCATTCCTAAAAGGACTCCCCGACCGGATAAACACACCATTTTAAGAGGTACATTTCAGTGTAGCTTTTTAATGGGCAATAAATCTGTGTCCACAGGCGTGGATGATACCAGAGGTACACCTCAGGGAGCACATCCATTTTGCCGCGGCCATCAGGGACAGGGGTCTTTTCATTCGCTTCCATTACTCTTATCTGATCAGGGTGAGGCACCTACTCTTCCAGCATCAAGTCACACCACGCATCCCTGCCGCACTCATCCAAATCCTTGGAAAACCGCAAGGAATGCCAACATGCATTTCACCTTTAGTAGTTCATTAGCATGGAATGCTACGCTACTAAAATTCAACAAAATCTTGAAAGAAAATCGGTTAAAGACATAATTTCTGGTTAGACATATGCAAACAATACAAACAAGTGGTTTTTCTTTGCAGAGCTTCTTTCTTATCTGTAGAAGATATAAGTGGCATCTTGCAGTGCTCATTTCCCCACAATCCAAACGATGGACGAATTTTTCAATTTTGACAGTGGCACAGCAGGCATCTTCTCTTTTAAACATTACAGTTAGCGGAGCAAAGCGAAGGAGGAAGATAAAAGGTTGGAGAGGCGTCTTAAAGCAGAGATACTATCAGGCCTTTTCCAAGGATCTGTGCTGAGAGGGGCGGACGTGGATCAGCAAGCTGCTGATGAAGACGTCTCTTCTGGCTGGAAAGAGCGGCTTTCGCATTCACTTTAATTAGAGCTAGTGCCGAGCATTCACATAAAACAAGGAGGAAAAAGTCTTTTATGTGGCGAAAAAAGGTTCAGCATTTAACATGGTTGTGTGCCGGCAGAGTTTAAGCAAATTTCCTTTTGATTATCACAGCGGAGTTGTTTTGTAATTATGTGTTAAAAAAAAAAAAAAGAAATGAAAGAAAAAAAGAGGCAGTGAAGACAAAGAAAAATGACCTCAGCCCTACATCTACATCCATTAACACAGGCATTAAAGGAACTGTGGATAATCATCAGCCTTCGTCAGAATGAAATATCTTGTCAAATTGAGCACAATGGAAAAAAAAATGAAAATAATAATCCTGTGACACGTCAGACTGCTGGAAAATGTTTTAATGGGTTAATGCAGGCATTCTTGCAGACAACGACTTAATCTTTTTTCCCCCTTTTTTTCTTTGCTTCCAAAGGTTCAACATCTCAACGTGACGCTGAATGATGAGTAATATCATGTAAAAATGACGCTACTCTTAATTTACAAAATCCTCCGACGTATCTGTCACAGCACACTACATACGAGACGGACTGAGTAAACATGACAACCCCCCCATTCAAACACACAATAACATTGCCAGTAGAAGTGATGCTCAGCATCCTACAGATATCCAAGCATGTTAGAGGAAAAATTTGCACGTACTCAATTCATGTCATTCTGCACAAATATGTCAGATAACTGCAGAGGAAAAAAAAATGTTAAAAACAAAATTGGTACTTGGACAATTTCTTTTGACATTAACATGACCATGCATTAGTCTCTCCACTTTTAGTTAACCACAATATACTGAATATATAATCGCAAGTTGGCAATATTAAAAAGAAACAAATTCTCAAAATTGAATCTATAACAGTTCACAGATGTATGATCTGGAATATGTTGTTTAAATAAGAGACTGAGTTTTCACTTCCACATACCTCCAATGTTTCATTATGTTTAGGCCAAAGCGTCAACACTTTTCCGTCTTACATGGATTGACACTGCTTTTATGGCATACTACTACTTTTCCCACACAAATATGCAATAGAACAGACTTTCTTGTACATTGGTCTTCTGAAGATGGTTCAACTGTCATTTACATAGAAATGGTGCCATCAATATGGGGCATATGCATCTTTTAAAAAGTGTAAAGAACTGACCTTGACCACTGAGTGTTCATGCTTTAATGTCTAGTCACAAAACGGGCTAAACATTACAAATATATAATATTTCCCATTTAGTTAAACCTTTGTTACGTTCCTATAGAACTCCATATCAAAATGACTATACATGGGAACTAGTGCAACCTGGAGGAGGCCTGGTCTTTGTGACAAGGCAGGCACAGAGTAAAATAGACTAAGTACTCTAGACCAAGTCTAGAGCAATGGCAGATATATTAAGGCCATTTTGAATAATACAAGAAAAAAAAACTGTAGCAGAGAGCTTGGCTTGCTACCCAGGCTGAAGAGAGTTCAGCTGGGGCAGCAAAGCAAGCAAGCAACACCAATTGAATCTATTTTTTTTTCCAATCCATTGATGTCAGCCTTCCATGTGCCAGCCTCCCCACATCTCTGGCCAGAAAGCTCCACTCTTCTGTATTCAAGTGTGTTCAGTTTTGGTGGAAATAAGAGTGGTAACCTCACTAGTCCTTCCTTTGTAAACCCATGCTTCTCACCTCCAGTAAAGTCCTGGGGCAAAGTTGGGCAGTCAGGACTGTTTTAGACGCTTCCGTGGAGGACCAAAGTGTGGGCACTGTGCTGAAGCCAGGGCACGGAAGGCTTCGGCTACCAAGTGAGGATGGGACTGGACCATTGACTTCCAGCCTGCAGTATCCATTATGTCTGTGGCATGACTGTAAGCACAGAGAAAATAAAGTCAACCCTCTGACATGATCATCTGCACATTAAAAATCAATAAACTGAAATGGGACTAATGACAAAGCAAATAAGGGGGTGTGATATGTGAATGATACATTATCAAAAAAGCCCATTAGTACTTTCTGTGCATGTGGATAAACTGAACCTGATCTAGGGATAAAAAGGCTGCTAGAGCGTATACAAATAAAAAGAAAAAAGTTCAAACATTTCAAGGTGTCCTGCAAAGCTGCACTACATCATTTGTAGGAGAAACTTGCCAAAGCCGCTACCTCCCGTCTTTTAAGAGTCAAACAAATATTCAATTTCCGTGGTTTATCCAGGTATGAGTCTATTAATAACTTGGATACAAAGATACGGGGCTTCAAACTGAAAAGGCAAATAGAACTCTGTCTGCCAGAGCTAAAACAATGAATTCTAATGCATCTGGTTGGGGGAACAGATAAGAGTGCGTTATTAATCTTGTGTCACATATATCAGCTAATTACATACTTGCTAGTCCAGTTCTTTCCATCTTTACAGCCCAGCTGTCTCAGGACACTGCACCTATGGCAAGGAGATAAAAAGGTAAGCATTCAGGGCTGGTAAACAGAAATGGCAGCAGGAATTTATCATTCGAGGTTTTTTTTTTTTTTCTGCGATACTTGCCTGTTGATAAAATCTATGGCTTGTGCTTTGAGCTGCTCGGCACTGTGCAAGTCAGCCAGGATGAGGGTGTCGGCCACATTCTCCACTGAAAGGCTGTTGCACAAGGCCTCTTCACACATGACCTTTAAACGCTCCAGAGCATACTGGGGTGGGGGCAACACAGAAGGCAGCGGTTTAAGCCTCGATACACAGTAAATCTGTCTGGTTTGAGATTTCGAAGAGCCCATCAAAAAGACTGTTCACCATTTAGGGAAAACCAGCTAATCAAATAATGAATCAGCTGCGTACACATTGCTCACTTAAAAAGATGCCAATCTCGGTTTTGAGAAAATTACAAATTCTTGGAATGTAGCTTATTTCAGCCTGTCTAATTGAAGAGTCACAGCAAAAAAAAATCATTCATCATTTCTCTGTGTGCAACGAAGCAAATGATCTTTCATCGCCTGCAACAAAAATGGGCTTCATACTGTAACTGCAGCAAAAATATTTAACCTGGACATGCTGCCACAGAACAGAATTCAGATCCCTCAGTGACTTCTGCTAAGTTAAACCAGCACTTCACAGCCTGTAGAGCTGGGTTTGCTTACCCACTAAGAGGTGTTACGAATGAAAGTGTCGTATACCTTCCTTGTTTTACTGAGGTGGACAAATGTGGAGACTGAAAACAAATAACAAAAATCTGACCTATTCATTCTGAAATATGATATTAGATGCAGGCTGACAGCTGCGCAATTAAAGAAACGCACCACACTAAGCCTCATTGGCTTGCATGAAGTGCTCTCTCCACTCTGAGCAGTTAAGAGGCTCCAAACACTGAAATGGGTTACTTAATGCCCATGTTAATACCACACCATCACTGTTCCAGCATTATTCAGTATATTAGTTTTTAAGTGACGCATCTGTGAAATGGGCCAAAATTAATTTTACCAAAATAAATAAAGAAAAAAAAAAGTTAATTGAAACTGGATGCAAAATCATCTAAATCAGAAATGACAATTTACTGATTAAATGATCATATTCTTCAGAAGCTTGATTGAAAATTGTGAACATCATTATTTACTTTATCTGCAGCTGCCAACAAATTGTCTGCCATTTTCTCCAGGTTCGGTGCTTTCCCTGTATAGATGAAACCCATCATTTCCCTAAAGACGTCCGGGTCCACGTCACTGATGTCAACACGATTCTGCGGCGGAAGAAAAGGAGATGTAAATCATAAAAAGATGGAATCAACATATGAAAAAAAAAAAAAAGCTTCAGTAACCAAATTGCTCCGTTTTATTTTAAATGTCACAAAACATTTAAGTCTAAACTACATAGGAAGTATAGATGGAGGACATTTTTGTATAGTGAGGACCAGTGACAAGAGACAATTATTCTTACCTTTTTACTTTCCTCCATTTCATGTTCAAACATCGCATTAAAGACTGGTGACCTTGCTGTCAAAACAAGTGAACAAATAGATACAACATTAACAAAAAACAGTTGCAGTTCTTGTCAACTTATTTTTTTTTTTTTTAAACTCTTCTTATCTTCTCCCACCTCTAACTGAGGCTCACTTTAGCTTTCTTTAGATGTTTTTCTCCCAATGTGTCCTTCAGAGTTAAAACTTCAATCTAACCGGCATGTTCAGTTTCTATACTGAATCTTAAATGCGGCCTCTCATTTGTAACTCCATTTGGATAAAAGCATCAGTTGGATGAGTAAATGTAATTCTATGCTGGACTATTGCTGTATGAAAATGCAACAAAATTCATATAACTTCCACTTTGTCCACATTTTCCCCTTGAACACTGCTGCAGCCACGGTCTCTAATCGAGATGAGCTGAAGGAGAGAGGCAGCCTCTCAATCTCCTGGAGTCCTGCCGTCATCTGGGTCAAGCAGGGCCAAGCAGGGGTAGTGGGGTGGATTAGCAACCACTGCAGAACTAGGCCGCTACAAATCAATCCAGGCACACAGACCCCTCTTTAGCTTTTCAGAGCACTTATGAGTCTCCACAAGAGGCCGAGAAGAAGCAGCATAGATGCGCTTTCCTAGTGCATCTTCAGGTACTCCTATCCTGTTGTTTTCCAAGGTTCTGCGAGTCGAGAATGTCTTACCTGCGAGGATGGATTTGTGGGCTTTGAACTCGTGCCCTCCCACATAGAGGCTGCAGTCTGTGAAACGCGAACACTCCCACAGGTTTCCTAAGTCATCGGAGAGCTGACACTCCGGTACCTTCAACATGTTCATGTTGGACTGGCCAGAAATGTTAACGGAGTCCTGGACGACGCTAACCTGTCAACGCGTCGTATAAATGAAGCAGCTTCACCAAGCCAACATGTGCTCCGTAACATGACAGACATTTCACTTCACAGCATTAGATCACTACAACTCATCTGTAAATCTTCCCCTGTACAAGCTTTTATGAAGACTAGGAAACCTATACTGAAGATGAACCTATGCTCAACAACACAACCAATTGAAACTAAATTAAATACTTAAAATGTAATCTTATCACAGTCACAGTTTCAGAGTTGAGATTGTTGAGCTTCTCCGGAACAGGAATGAAGGGAGAATTCAAGCAACTGCATTCACATCAAAATCCGCCGACACCTCATTTAACTTGTCTCTTAAAAGATCCCTTTCCAAGAGATTTACTTTGCTTGAAATTCTGAATGAAATCGTATAATAAACATTGTAAAAAGCGTGGGGGGGGGCATTTCCTTTGCTGTAAGTAAAATGCCATTTTATTGCAAATCCCAATGATGGAAAAAAACAGTCAGCACTGGCTCAAGTGTAAACCTATCAAGAGCTGACGTTTTCCCATTAAAAGGAAGACAATGGGTAAAAAATAAAATAAAAAAAGAACTGAGGTTTGATTTTGACAGCTACTTTACAAGACAGGCAGGTTGTTTCTGTGACTTGTATCCAGTCATAAAAAAAAAGTGCCGAGGGAACATTTAATTAGCTGGACATCAGTTTAATTAGTGCCAATTTCACTCATCAGTGTAGACTGCTTGTAAAATAGCAGAGAAAAGTGTGACTCGGTTTTGGTGCATTTTAAGACATTAATGAAAACAAAGGTTGTAAATTCTTATTGATTCAGTACCAGATAAAAAAAACTGTTGTTCAACACTTACCTCACAAAAAAGGGTGAGTTTGTCATCTGGTAGGAGTCCATTAGCTTCATCGAGGAGAAAATCTCTCCTTATAAATTTTTTGAAGCCCCAGTCTTTGCCTTGAACAAATCTATATGCTCTTTGGCTTTCTGTAACCAGAAAGAAATAAGGATTCTGTTAGTATCCGTGTTTCAAGTTGTCTAATATTTCAATGAAATGACTACAACATTCAAGACAAAAGAGTACCAGAGATTCGGGTAGAACGATTTTGACTGGACTCACCCATTGCTTTTGTCTCCTCTCTTTTCGCATTCAACAACGAAAACTTAAATTTTGCTCTGACTTCACTTTTTGGACAACTAACAAGAAGTAAATACAATGACAGATAATCTTTGCTTTCATCATCAAGTCCCTTTGGATTGACTCGCAGACACCTGACAAGTAAACAGATAACACAAAACATTACTTCTGTTGTAAATGCTAAAACAAAGGTCTGTCAATTTTCACACTTGAAACCTTCTTATTGATATTTGGGGGAAAGATAAAGTGACAAAAATGTGGAAAAAGAAATTGGAAAAAAGGCTTTTCTCCCAATTGTCACATAAATAGCCATAAAATGTCTATACATACAGAGTAGATTTAGCTTTTTTCATTCTATTTAGAGTACTGACCATTTCATTTTGTCATTAGGGCCAGAAGAGAAGGTTGAGCTCTTCAACACTTCCCCCATTTCTTCTCGGCAAAAACTAAAGTTGTTTATTGTCCACATGTAGGAAAACTTCACAACTTTGACCTTGGAACAAAAAGAAAAAACAGATAAACAGAAAATCTTATTTCATCTCAAAACGCAGTAATAAATTTTTTTTTATTACTAACTGCCACAATTGGATGTAAACATGACAAACATAATGGCAAAGGAGTCCCACTCAGATTGACTAACTGAAACAATTCTACTCACTCAATGTGCAGTACATGATCAACCATGTGTGTTTTTGTCCATTACCTGTGTGTAACACCAGCTCTCTGCCACAGGTCCACTTGACATCTCCCCGGGAGGAGGAGGGGTGGGAACCCGTGACATCACTGGCTTTGTGGAACCACTCACTCACGTCCTTGAAGAACTAAAAGTTTGAAGAAGTTAATGTCATTTTTTGCACTGCCTTGCTGTCATCATATTTTAACAGTCATCTACTGTTTGGTAACTTCTTAAACTAGCACCTGTCACTGAACTGGATGACAATCAGAGTTTCTCTTAAAAGACACCACACTTCACAATGGGTTACAAACAAAAAGACAACAAGAATAGCACATCACATCTTTCATTGTTTTACAACTTCCAATAGGGTGTCCAGTTTATTCTTAGCTTGAATTGCGATGTTTACCTCTTTTTTGCCATTAGTTTACGCCATTGTCCACATTCCTGTTGTTTTTTTTATTATTTAAGTTTACATCAATTAGTGACTTCAGACCTCTTTGTGGAACAATGAATTTGAGGTCCCAGTTTCATCCGAGTTTCCCCAGACATGCAGGCAGAAAATGTAACAGAATAGCTATGCAGCAGCCATTTTATTTATTTTTTAAAAATCAACAAGCTTTATGTGAAACTCCAAGTAGAGATCATATTGTAACCACTAATGTTGACATAGACTTGCGTTCTCAAAAGAAAACATTAAGTTAGACCAGCTAAATAGCATAATGTGTTTACATAGTCCCATCCCCAACTAATTTCTGTAATATTCTGCAGTACCAGATTAATTGTTGACGAAAGAGTAAAATTCAGTAAGAACATCTTAGGCTTGTTCACAAAAAACACTTTACTAATAAGGCTAATGTATTTTTCCAAGGAGACATGAGTGATTCATTTTACCTAACCAGCGTGAGTTGCACCTAAAGCAGTGTAAGCAAAAAGAGGCCATGTGCTCTACACAACTAAATCGCAACGGGTTTTTATACTATTGCCTGATGTGACATTAAGGAGACATATTCAGGTTTGGAATGTCATGATGTTTAACTTAATCTTTTTCCTGAAGTTCAAATCAAAATCTCTGAAACCTTTCATCCTCTTATCATGCCACCTTAGAAGATTTCTGCATGCACTTTAACAAGTAAACATGTTTTTATAATACTTTTATAGGTCTTGCATATTTACAACATAATACCTGCTGAAAATAAAACAAGATTCTAGCAAGTCCATGAATGTATGCCTTCATGTCGGAGAACATATAGCACTTATCAAACTATTATTGCTCACTACCCTGAAATTGGCATTTTCCCTTGGGAATGTCAAGCTTTTCAACATTGTCAAATAATTTGGGTATTTCTGTGTGTATCATCTAGGAGACTCAAAACAATCATCTTTGTTTTACATTTGTGCCAAATTAAGGCTCAGGATTCATTCATGAGCTTACAACTTTAACTGCTGTTCTGGGAGGCAAACTGCAATAACACAAAGTACAAAATCAAGCATGCATCATTAATAGTAAATTAAAATGGGCCAAATTACCTCTTCAATTCTTGAAATATATAAAGAAACAGTTGCTTTAAGTTGTCACAGAGTCCTTCATGGCCCCATCTTCATGCTACACTCTGGAAAATAAAGTTTTACAAATACAAAAATAAATAAATAAATCATTAGGCCTGATTTGCAAATAACTTGATTTACATTTAGTATCTAATACCTTTGGAATAAAGCCACCACATCCATGAATATGATCAATGGCTATCAACAATTCAGTTATAGCAATTATAACGACATCTACACAAATACAACTTTCAAATTAATCATGAATACCAACAAAAATCGGCCACCAGCCAATGCTATGATAACACTTTGTTAGCACGTTAGCATTTTACCCTAAAACACTTCACTTAATGATGGCTATTTAATCGTACCGCTTAGTCTTTAAGTGACATCCCATGCCATGATGGAATAGTTTAGCTAACTCCAGATTCACCTGCAACTTTGTGTGGCTAACATGTTAGCTTGAGTTGTGCAACATCGCCTTTAATACAGAAGATGCTATGCGGACAGCATCAGACAAACTATTTAGTATTGGCTTAAACTTGCACTACAACATTTGCTACGAGTGTTACTACACACATTGATATCCATCCGAGTCAATTTGAAATGGGCGTTGATTACCGCCGAGGAAGAATAAAAAATAAAAATATTATTAAGCAACAGCTCATTGTTTGGCGAAACATGAGCCAAGGTGTCAACAATCATTTTCATAGCATTATCATCATCACCATCGCTTCACGATTTAGTCAATTAAAAGTAACCTCAGTCAAAATAGGAATACTTTTTTTGTATTAACACTTATACATTAACAAAACCATAATTAAATGTTTAAGATATTTTTGTTAAACCCGAGCTAATGTTCCCTCTAGCAGGATAACTGTTCACTTTAGCTTTTACACCGAAACAGAAAAGCTAGCTTCACAAACACGTTAGCAATTAATCTTTACGCACATTACATGCAAGACTTACATTGACATTATTATTTCACAGTTCCAAGACAACCAAATCAAGGATGCATCAAGTTAAACAGTTAAGGTGATGTTTAGTGCCGCAATACCGGGTGTAAAACAAAAGGCCTTCGCTGTTCCCTACTATATGATGCTAACTCAGCAAGCTAAGGTAAATCCTTACGCTTTGAATGCAAACTGCTGGACGAAGAAACAACATGAGCTAACTAGCAGCTAGCCAAGGCTATTCTCTGCACTGACTGCTTACAAAAAGTTTAAAAAGACGTGGTGACGTCGTACCTTTGATTTTTATACTCCCATATATATCGTATAACGCATATAGCTTTATGTTGCACCTGCTCCTTTCACCGTCCGTTACTTTGAACCCTTTTTCATTCAGTCTCTTCTCAAGCTTTCTTTGTCTAATTTATCTATGCTAGCTTACAGTTGTCTAGCTGGCTTGTAGCTACACAGGCTAGAAAATATAGCTACTGCGCACGCGCAATATCTAGACGACGTTCATTGACTACCCAGCCAAACTACAACAATAATAATATATTAATAAAAAGAGGGTGAACAAAAAGAAGAAGTTATGTTCAGTTTTTCTAAGAGGTTCTTTAGTTATTTGACAGTTTGCATGGTGATGCATTTATTAAGTATCTAAGCGTGAATATGTTGGCCTAATTTGTTATTTCTACAAAATGTATATATATATATATATATATATATATGTTATTATTTGTTTACAATATAGAATATAAGTTAAATTAGTAGTTTGATATTGTTCGACATAGTCAGAAAGTAAAATACTTACAGTATCATGGTACGAAGTGTTTTTTAATTTGATTTTGCTGCTGAAAGGTTAGCTCTTTTCTCTTTTATTTAGCAATATTCTTGCTAGTTTCAGTTCTAATTTTGGATACATCTGTATACTTTATGAGTCTATTCTGTGTTCCAATTTCTAAGGAGCAAAATAATACAAATAAGTTTCAGTGCTCTTATGATATACTAATGTCACATTTCACAGTAATTATTATGCTGAAAAACACATTTTGAAAAGAAAAAAATAAAGACAAAGTATGCTGAGTTAGTTTTTGAAAGATTTTTTTTTCTGACCTAAAATAATTTAGAGGATGTTTACATTAAAGATGTCCAATGTTCTAGATGCATTATCAATAACTTTTTTTACACATGTTGCCACGCTATGATAATAGGATAGGGCAGTGCTACTTCATTCTGACAGGAGCTTTAGTGACTTCAAATACATATAGAAATACAGCCTTCATAATACAGACATATTTATTTTTAGTCTATGATACAGGAACATTTATTGTAACCATGAGTGGTCAAGATAGCAAAATCTTGTCAATAACATCTGGACTGTTGGTTCATGTTTGTCACTCATAACATTTTGCTGTGAAAACACACTGATGCCAATGTCAATGTTTATTTTCATCGGATTTGACAAACTGAGTGTATGTTTGCTCTGATTGGCTTGTAAGCATAGTTGGAGAGTCAAATATTTCACATACTTGGTTCCACCTTTTTATTTCTCATTACATAACTAACAGACCAAGAATTGTGTCAGTCAGTTCTGCAACAAAGTTCTTGCTTGTCATACCCTCAAAGTGACAAAATAAAATAAAAATGTCACGCTGAGCAAGTAATAATTAAGTGAGTGTAAAGCAGGTTGGCTGTGCGTAATTACGTCCTTCCAAAGATGAATGCACATTTGATTAACAGTTATCTGGGGGAAAAGAAACCTAGCACCGGTCAGATTGATCATCTTTTATCATATTCTCCATTTCATGGTGATGACTTAATGTGTGGTTTACACAGGAGATCCATCTCATCATGCAAGCTTGACCCTAGTTTAAGAACATAGTAAATGGAACATCTTTCAACTGCTGTTATTCTCCTTATACCACTGGCTCAGTGAGAACAGTCTCAACCTTGGAGGGAGGGAGCAACTGCCCTGCAGCTGAAAAGAAGAATCTAAAAGTCACAAAACCACCTTCCTTCCCTGGAAGACAAATTCGCCCCTCATTTCCCTCAAAAAGCATCCTGCATATTAAGAGGCTCATCTCAACCTGCCAATTAACTATTTGAATGTTCCCCATCAGGGAAACAATAAAGGTACATCAAGCTCAAGTAGTTCAAGTCTGATTAACAGCTTTTACTCCAAGCCACTATCACATTGAACTTTGCACAGAAATTGCCCAACAATGTGTCACTATAATTCTGTGCATTGCATTATTTGTTCATACACTGCATGTTTTAGGATTCACCGTCAGCAGATTTCAAAACTAACAAACCCTATATTGCAGGGTTTTTTTTTATTGTGTAATGGAAATAATTTGTATCAAAACACCACATGAGTTGACATCTTTTGTCTGAATTTGATCCTCTTTATTTTTCCCGTGCAGTACCAGCATGTTGAAATAGTTCTGGTGTCAGTTGGTGGCCCAGTACTACACTAGGACATTTGAGCCCTTTCCACACTGGTCAAAGAAAAAACTGCAAACACCCTCTCAAATCTGGCTCTTGATTGCAGTAGGAAGCTGTTAAATAGGCATTCAGCCCCACGTCAAAAGACTAAGCAATAGAGGCTAATTTCCATCAGCTCCTGCTTGGCAAAGTTTTACATCCTGCTGTACACCCTCAACATTTCTCTGAGGATAATTTAGTCAGTGCACGAAAAATGGGTACAGTTCACATTTTCTTCACAAAAACATGCATTCACTAGCCACAACACAGGAAGGATCTAAAACTAAAACAAATAGTTGTAAATTGTCTTTGTTTTTTAAATCTTACATGTCAGAATTTCTTTTTTCTATATTGTTGGGGTGAGGTATGTGTTGGGGTCAAAAATGGAAAAAAGACTAAATTAGCGTGCCACTGACAGGGATCGACTGGGATCTGTAAATTTTGGTAATCTGAATGCTTATGATAACCATTACAATATACAATGGGAAAGGCAATTATAAGCTTAAACTACTTATGTCAGCCATCTTTTGTCCTGCTTGCATGTTTTTGATAATCTAATCAATAGGAACCATAAAAACATAAACAGTCTTATACCTGGCACCTGATAATTAAATCAATGTAAGATGATTTAATTCGGTGAATTTTTTTATGTGGAAAATTGGAATTATTGGAGTACTGGAGTAGTTTTTTAAGGTCTGATACAAGGATTATAGAGTAACGCTTTCTTAAATACAAAAGGAATTACCTAAAACCACATTAACTATTATTTGATCATATTAGCATTATTGATTAGGCTGAACAGACAGAAAATTAGAATGTAGAAAATTATATAACATAGTTATGACAATAGATTTAACTTCAAACTGGAATTCCTTGTCTTTGATTCTTCTGCCTGCTTCTGGTGTCAAACACAATGCAGCCTCGGGAATGCCATGCTCTGAAACAAAACCCCATAAAGGCTCCCTGTAGACCTGTGATAACCAATTCCCTCTCAGATCCGTGGATTCTGAAGGATGAGCAATAAATGGCATATTTGCACCACTTTTCATTCATAAACAAGATAAGGCGCAGTCAGCTTTATTGTTGTTGTTTTTTGTTTACATGGTGATGATAAATACTTAACTTGTGAGTCCAGTTTTAGGGAAATTCTCCAGGCATTCTCTCATTTTGCTTACCAGATCATATATCCAGCCGGTGATACACTGGGCAATCTTCAAAAAGAGGTTTCAGCTGATATGATCACATTTGAAGATATACAGGGACGCTTATCACACATTTACATCAGTTTGAGTCAAGGACAGGGAAACAGGCTTCTTTAAACGTGTCCACTGGTGACACATTCCAGCTTTTTATTAATAATATGGGAGTGCCCAGCATATATTCATTGGTTTATTTTCCCATATGCAGTATGCCAATGGTTTCATTATGTTTAGTTTATCTGAACTTTTTATATGAATTTTTTTTTTTTCAATGTAAAGTTTGTTTAGTGTGATTAATCTGGTTCAATCCAAAACCCTTAATACGATCCATTCTCAAACTAATAGCAGGTTGATTTTCTCCCCCCAAAAAAGAATAACAAGCTTTGACTTTGTTTGTGGATGCATAGTCATCTATGCTTCTTTTGGTAAAATGATGAAATTTCTAATGATAAAAAAATATTTATAATATTTTTTCAAGCATGTTTGGTTTCAGCATGATGTGTTCTTAATCTCTTCCATTTTCTTGCTGTTTTACATATTTCTCAGGTATGAATAGCCCTCTGCATAAAGATCTCACTGAGCAATGAGTGTGACAGTCGTCAAGCTCCAACGTACAATAGTCTTATTATGAGAATCTCAAACCCAGCTAATATTGTTTCTGACAGGCATTCAACAGCTCGAGTGATGGAGACTGATCCAGACAGAACTTATAAGCATGAAAAAAGGCTGCAGTGACAAGATGAACCCCAATGACCTCATCAGAACATGACCATACAGATGTCGAGAGCAAAATTGATTATGACATTAGTTACGTCCCCCCACTATCTTGGAAATAAAGTCAGAACATTGAAGAATAGGGTTGGTAGAAAGCCAGAAAAATCCACATTAATCTAATTTGATCAAATCTAGTAAGTAATAACATATTTGTGAATGTTCATTCATTAAGTAGATATGAAAAATAGCGGGCTGATCAAAGTATGAATAGGTCTAGACAAAGTTCTAAATGCATATAGATGGTTTTGTGAAAAGAAAGGAAGAAAAGGGAATAAGTGGCCATATTTTATTGAAGCAATTAGAATATATATAATAACTTATCTCCTGTAAGTATTGTTATCACATCGTTTAATTTTGAGAGTTTAGATATATCCAAGGAGCACTTTTGGCTTTTTAAGTTCTTTTAAATTAATTTAAAAAAATATTAGTATCAAGAATAGGAAGTAAAATGAGAGAAGACTTAGTGACAACAAACCCATTTTAAATTACAACAGAGAACTCTTAATGTCATAAAGCAACAAAATTCTGTCAATGGTATCTTATCTGAAAATAATTTAATTATCCTGATCAAATCTCCCCTACAAGAAAAAGAAGGTTTGGTAAAGATACCATCCATCAATATTCTCTTTTTACAATTCCACCTCGAAAAATGAACAATATTATGAAACATTTCAGTGTTTCTATGTTGATGGAAACTCACTTTCATTCATATGCAAAACGGCAGATGTACCACATTTCTGTGGTAGATTTCAGGGATAGATTTCACCTGTCACTCCCAAAACAAGTTGAAATAACTGTCACCTAAAATGGAAGCTTAAAATCAAGTCATTAGGAATTGCAATGACTTTTTTCCAACATGACTGTTATTTTCAATTTATTCCAATCATGACAAGAATTATAACTGGTAATACCTCAAAGAGAATCAAACTTTGCTTCCCCAAATAGGTCATTGTTTTCCACTGATTGTTCTTACACATGATTATGTGTCTGTTGTCAACAGAGTCTCTTTGTTTAAACTC